TCGCACGTCATCTGAAGTGTGATTCATATGACCGTCATCTTGATTATGCCATGACGCCGTCGTTTACCACATCTATCAATGTTTCATATTTTTCCGACGGGGCCTGTTATCGAAAATGTAGCTGACTAGTTGTGTCTTTGCCCCATATTAGACGATTTGTCAATCAAACCCTGGTCATTTTCTGTTTTCGCTATATTTTGCCATTAGCAAATGAAAGCTTAACCAGATTAACCATGTCTTATACGTTATTACACTCTACTACTCACGTCACAAAGCTTCAAATTCGACTTACCATCGGCAATCCTTTGACGCTGATACGCTTACGAATAAAAACCGTCTCTCGACAACACGATGATGATTACGATAGCTTACATGCCCACCAACCAATGGTTTATGTAAACTTTCCAAAAGTATTCTTTTCGAGACCCACAATGACGAGGTCCTTTAAAGACTGCAGAAGTTTCTCGGAAAGGTTTTCACTTCAAGACCCTCTATAATCAGGTCCTTTGAACATTGCAGCCTACGTTTCATATTTTTCGGAGAAGGTGCAGTTTGAGTAATATGGAATATCTCGTCGTTGATATGGTCTTACAAAAGGGATTAATTGAAGTAAAGTAAGTCGTTTATGTGTATTCAACTTCGACGAGATAAACTGGGGCACTATTCAACTGTTGTTACCCCAATTTCCCGAAATGTGGGCAATTTTTAACCGAGTTTTTCCACGAGACGAGTTTTTGCTGAAATTGGTTTCCAGGGGGTAGTTTGACCTCTTGAACATGAGCATCACAGCATTTGTCCCGGAACCGTCTGGCGCCGGCGCCAAAATACCCTCGATTACCAAATCTTGATGGAAAACTTGTATACGGGGTTATTTGACATCCTGACTTTGAACATGACATTCATTCTTGGCGCCGGCGTTAATGGAGGACACTACGATTATCTGCGCTTTGAGCGCTGAGCCTGGTCTGAGGGGAATCACTCCTCCCAAGCTCAGCCCTAGCAGAGCGCTAAATCGAAGAACGAATGCCATGCACTTGATCAGTGCACCAAACAAACCCGTTGTACAAGTTTCCATCGATTTATTGAGAAAGGATGTGACGCCAGATAGGCGCCCAACAGCATCAGATAGCGCCAGGACTAGAAGTGAATGTCATATTCGTGATTAGGTCACCGAATAACCCCATATGCAAAAGTAGAGCGATTTTGGTAAGAAAAGTGTTGGCGCAAAATTGAGGCCTTATGGTGTCAAATGGCACCAGCGTCAAATGTGATTGTCATACCCGTGACCAGGGGATCGGATAACCCGTATAGGAACGTTTCAGCAAAAAGAAATTCGTGTTTTTGGGGTACTAATGGTTGAACAGTACTAGAAATGGTACAATCCTGCACCCATACATGTGCACGTGAGCCCCCTTTTGATTGCTAGGACTAATCATGGACGTTGAGTCCCTGTTATCATGCTTTGTGATGTTGCATGGAATTGTACTGCTGTTATGAAACTACAAAACCTTGCATGAATGTTTCCGTCGAAAATAGTGTTTCGGGAAGTACAGGTAATTGTCAGTTTGAGGACAGGTATCTCATAAGCACAGGGCGGAGAATCCATTTGACATTAAAGCCAGGGATAGCAGAAATTCCTCTTTTTCTTGTTTGGGAAAGCCACTCGCACAAAATGTCTTTTTTTGTGTTACCACTCTTTTTTCTGAGAATAAGCCGTACTTATCCATGCTCGCAGGGAGGGATGCACGCACTAACGCGCGCGCGCAAAGTTTCTAAACATAGCGGCTTTTTATCTTTTTTTTACATACTTAAACCTTCTAATTAGTTTCCAAACACTTTTTACGCTATACATATCTTTCACATCGGTAGAAATGAAACTAAATATACACACAAAGAAGGCCAGAAGATACATTTGTTGATCGTTGAGGAGAAGATGCGGCTTATACACGGGTGCGCCCTGTACAGTAGAAAACAGGGTACATTTGTAGTACAAAACGTAATGTAGACTGTTAGGGGATGGCTTCGCAGAGAAGGCTAAATCTCCGCTGAGCTTAAGTCTTCGTTAGGGATGGGACACGGAGGTGCCGCCGTGTGATATGGTCCCTCACTACGTCAGTGCCAGCCCTTCTTTTGGGCTGCCTTGTTCGTAGTTGGGTGTAGCCCTGTATACCGAGCCATTTGTTCTGTGAAGTGTTGTAAGGCCTGTGATGTAGGTGTATTATCCCCTCCCTAATGTGGAAACCACTACGGTACATTTAAGGGGGCCACGCGGCGCTGCGTTATATCCACTATCGCGCTAGCCACGTTGGGCAGAGCGCAGACGACCAGAGCCCTTGCGCGCTCGCACACGCTGCAGCGTGGCCTCAATCAACAAGGTTTACAGCGCCAGTTCTTTCACAAATGAATCTATTCGTACATCACACAGCTCCCTCTACTCTTGCAATATTCGGGGAATATGCTGGTCTTTGGTTCACAATCCTTTTTCGTACCTTCTGGCTTTGCACGTCCTCCATTATGAAACGAATTGAAGGACTTGCATAAAAATTGGACTCTGCAGCGTAATTACCCGGTATGTTTGCTGGACTGTCCAAATGGCAGGTTGGACTGGGCGCTCATTTTACATTTGGACCACTTTTGTTTGCATCTGGCTCTATGTTGATTTCTTGAACGAAATGAAAGCCTGCTGTTTGTTTCACTGCTTTACTGAAAAGTACTGGCGGTGCTGTCATTGAAGTCTTTCTCTACTCTAGTCGTCGCGAACGAAGGGGCGTGTCAGGCAGTATGAGTGCGTCACGGCGCCAATATTCTTAGCCAGTTATTGAAGCGGGTATGCGATAACATTTGGTAGAAAACGAGTGGTACGAACGATATGATACAGTCTTGTCATTGCTCGCTTCAACAGTTGGTGGAGAACGGGTTTGGCACCGCTCCAAACAAATCCGTCCTGACACGCCCCTTCGTCCGCAGCGAACAGGATTATGTGTCTCAGTGTGGTATATTACGAGCCTTTGCTTCGTTGATGCTTATTCTGAAGGCTCACATTTGCTACTTGATAATAACTCTTCCCAAAGTCTTCCACTTTCAGGAAGGAAGTGATCTCTGGATGGCCTTACAGGTGCCGGGATCGAAACTATCCCGGTCAGGGCCGGGCCTCTTGAAGCCGGCGGCCACTACAAAGCCGCTGCTTACCCTATCTGATCATGATTGTCTCAAGACGCCAACAATGAGCGATATGTTGAAGGTTGGTAATTCAGCCTCTAACTCCATAGTTTCATTTTTTTAGACCTTTTTGTTATGTTCTGGATGTTATGAAATAATGTTTGCCCTTTTTCGCTACAAGTTTTCTGTTATTGATTAACGATGTTTTGTTCTGGAAGAAACTATAATCGCATAGCTTTTCTTTTTTTTGCGAATGTGTGGGAATTGCGACGGTGATTGGTGACCAGAGGAACCCGCCATTCACGAGCGCTGCTTTGACGTCCCTTTTTTATTTGTGAGCCATATCTGCGTGAGCGCGTAACTGCTAACATTGGCGGGATATGGTGTTGAAAAGTGAGTAGGTGTGTTGAGGAAGTTCTGTTCAATTATGGTTAATTAACCAATTAAATGGAGATTCAATGAACCCCTTCTTCATGCCCACTAAAAGTTTTACCGAGAAACCTAACCTAATCGATTAGCACGGAAGTGTTCTCCATAGCTGTACCACGATGAATTGCGGATACTTTTGGGCTCGGTAAAACAGAAACTTTCTAACTTACTGGAAAGAAAGTTCTTTGTTCAAAGCCGAAAGGTGCATTCCACGATTACAGCAGGTTGAGCACCATCCCTGTACAGGTAATCCGACATACTTTCAGAGGTTAACCCACTTCTGCACTCTACAGTGTATGGCATAAGATTGTAAGTTCAAGAAACCAGGCGGGATGCAGTAGCTCCGAAAACTGCGCGTGAAATTAAATGTGTCAGATTCGTGAATGCACACAATTGGGCATCACGGGACCGAGACACCGTAGGATGAGTTAGTTCCCTAAGTTGTTAGCCTGTGTTATAATGCCTTTTGTAACAGCCTGGTCAACCGCATTGGTCGCGGCCTAAAACTTATAATTAGTGTGGTAACGAGAGCACGCCTGCGTCCCATATAGGGGCGAGAACGCACCCGTTGAAGCTACCTCACTTGTGGACGAGATATTTCAGTGTCTTATATCCAAAGAAGTAGATGTGACGCGCGATCATTATGTGCAGGAAAGACCTTCGTCGTCTCGCTCTTCGAGTTCGTGAGTCCTCGTTCATCGTTCTTGTTCCGCTCACGCGCATCACCGTGGCCTCGCGCTATTTTTCGGAAGTTCATTATCCATTGGGACCCTTATTACGGCGCCTCGCGATCGCTTTCATGGTTCTGGAGCCCACTAGCACCTGCAAGTTCATATTTGATTTTTGGGTCAGAGGATTAAGTTGAGGGCCACTTCCATGTAGGGCTTTAATTGGTAAGGCCCAGTGAAAGTATTTTTTTAGCCATTCAGGCTATTCTCATAGATTTCCTGCTCACTGGCATTCTCCCGCCCCAAAGTACATTCCATGCCGTGACCACTAGTTCATGTAAGCGCAGTGTTCTCTCTGTTGACCCTGTAAGGACCATTTGTCGCGCTTAGTACAAGGGCAGATCTCTTGACACAGCTGCAAATCGAATTGCGATCGAATACTAATCCTTACTTGTAATGAAATTATATTGTGAAAGGGCAATCCGCGTCGAATGGAATGAGATATTATTTTAAAGGCCACATCTAGAAACTAGTTGAGGTAAGGGCAGGCTGGGTTTGCGTAAACTAGGTTAAGCAGCACCTAGAACTGGAATTGCTACTTGTGTCGAGGAAAACCTCTAGGTAATGATCTATTAGTACATGATATTACTCCCTGCAGAGTTTGCATCTTTACATTACCACGCAATGAGAGTCTAAATAAAGCATGAGATTACGGTAATCCACGGAATCCATTTTGCGAAGAGCATGATCAGCCTTTTTGATAATATCTTCAAGAAGCGCTTGGTGCTCTACCAAGGACTTTATCTGGGCTACAGAAAACTATTGAAGAGTAAGGTCAAGTTGATTCGAAGCTATGTTAGTGTTTCACACTACTAGCTGCTGAACTGGTTCTATTGAACAGAAATCTTCGTGTAGGCCGAAACATTTCGGAAGAGATGATGTGCTCACTCTCTTCTTTTGGAGTAATACAACCCATTTCACTTATGGTCTGTGAAGCGATACTTCTCTGTAGCGAACCAGTGCGGCGAAATAAGTGTTGCAACCGGATGGCATACGCTGCATTCGCACCGGGACCCGAATCCATTTGATGTTGCAAACCATGGTCCGGCTAAGTCCCATAATTCCATTAATTTTTGGTTTTTCTTCATTGCTTTCTTTCTTGTTCCTTTTGAGTTGCGTTATTGTAGTGCAAACGTAGTAGTGGTTATACTAATAGAAAAAATAAATTAGCACACGCACATTAGCTGATACTAGACACTCTCTGATCTCAGCGGGTTTTAGTCGTGTATATGAAAAATCGGGTTACTGCGGGGAAGCACTTCTGTTTAGGGGTTTGGTGTGACAGTGTACATTGAGGAGACTAAGAATAAAGGCAAGCATGTTAATAAGGCTTCGTCGTTTACATGCGCTTCACAGGTGGAGTGGGCGCGTGGCCTGTTGCTTTACTCGCGTATGGCGTAGGATGCGCGTTGTTTGTGGCCTATTTCCATCTGATGCAAGTGTTGTTCTATATGGTGCTGGCAAAGTCATGATTGTAACTGTTTTGAGGCTGGCAGTATCCCCAAAAGCGCAGTTTGCCGCGACGTTTGAATGAGTAGGCGCTAACAGACCATTTTCTTCCAGCGATAATGAAGTAGTATCTGTAGACATTTTTATCCTGGTTTTTGTGGCTGCCAGTTGGGGTTATGTATTGAAAATGTGCTTTCTTCTGCGGGCCTTAGCACGTTGAACTGCGTTTGGCGGAGCCGAATGCACTCGGCAAATCGCCTCACTCGAGATGCCGGTGAAAGACAATTCAAATACATGTTATAAGCGCGCTGTTCTGTTAAGTGATTTCCTTTTTACTACCAGTTGCAGGCTGTTCATGTTTTTATACCAGTTGCAGTTTCATTGATGCACGCAAAACAGAGAAATAGCTCCAGAAAAATAAACATCTTACCTCAATTCTATCTGTGCCAGGGGCACGTCCAAAAGTGGGAACGCATGTAAATGTACATCCAAATGTTTTCATGCCGTTGAGAAAGCGATCTCCATGTTATGGTAGGCACTTTTGAGCGCCCACCAAAAAAGGTGCACAACATGTTTTCCATTTCGAAAATGCAGTTCAAGTTTCAAGAACCTCAGACGTAGCAGTTCCTGTTACAGACTCCAACTATACTTGGATCGCCGACAAAATCCGCACCACTCGCCATTGATGGAACTCCACGAATCCATCACTTCAACGGCTTCACACCGCAGAACAATCAGGCCTTCTTTGGTGATCATGAACCGTTGCTCACAGGTATGTTAATTAAGAAGTGTTTTGTTAATTGCCATTTTTCGAGTGAGTTCGTCCAGTGCCACTCAAATCACCACATATTGTGTCCTGAACCTTTCGCAGAGGTAGTGCTGAACTATTGCCAGAGGCCGTTTCTCTTTCATTCTGAGTGAGGCCCTGATGCTATTTAGCATGGGACAGTATCAAGATAGCCCCAGCTTTCTCTTAAAGACACTTCCTGCGATCAAGTGATCAGCGAAATGCCTCCGTGCATTTGGCATCGTTGTCCGCATTCGCAGAGAATATACCACTTTCGTCACTCGAAATGGCGAGATAACGAAGCTAGAGACGCGTGAGTTTTGCAACCGGTGCAACCGCGTACTGTAACTCTGCAAGACAACGGCTTACAAGCGGAATTGCGTGTGTACATAGCGTTGCCTGGAGCGTCGTAGGGCGATTTCCTATGCTCTTGCCGTGAACTGGTTGCACCTAGAATCCTGCTGATTGGGCTTGTCCTCATGATAAACTCGTCCAGGGCGCCGGCCCCACTGCTACGTTGTTCCGTGATTAGGGTGTTCCCCACCTTTTTTTCGCTTCTTTCTCTACTGTTAATTTTTTGATGGATTACTGGTTCATGATTGAGCACCTGCTACTACACTTGATCGCTGAAATTGTCGATAAGTGACTTCACTAGGAAAAAACGTCGTCCTGGGATGTCATCTACCTTGGATTCGTACCGGTTGCGTACTTTGACTGGAATCCATTTGTGAGAACTGACTTGCTCTTGAGCCACTATATTTAGCTTTCTGATAGCACAAATACTAGAGGTCCTCATTCATACGGGAAAAATGTTGAAGCTTGATCAGATGGATTCCCCATGAGCTCACTGATCCCCAGGGGACCCCTGTGAGATACTGCCTATCACTTCTCTCCTGCCTCGACCCTGCGGCCTGGTTGAAAAAGGGTGTAACTGGAGAGAAAGTCGATTCTTTATGATCCATCCCCGGGGGCACCAGTGTTCAGGCGCATCAGGAAGGTCGGATTTACTAACTGTACTGATGGACCAGTAGAAAGGAGATACTACGCACTTGATGAGGTGCTCACAACTTTTACATCCGAAAATTTCTCACTGTGAACGCAGTGGTAACTTAACCGCTTTTCCGAGTACAGTTGAAAGCTATCGATATCTACAAGCAGCCGCTTGCATATTGCGTGGCGTGTCAGTAGCTCGGAAAACTCGTACAGTGTCCAGGACCGGGGTCTTACTTGTCGCGTGTTCGGTTAATTCTTTTCTGCTCTTTCCTCCCCGCACGTTCACCTGTCTTCTCATGGTTCGCCATTACTCTCATCCTGCCGTCGTTCACAG